CAACGGATAACGCGTCTGACTACGGATCAGAAGATTCCAGGTTCGAATCCTGGCAGGATCGATGATTATTTTTTATTTAAAAAATTAATTAATATAATTACTAATGCTTCTTAATGTTTTTTATTCAATTTCAATATTAGTTTTATATATTGTAATAATTCTTTATAATCTATATAATCATTACAATATTTTAAATATCTTTTATATAACATTAATGTGATTTTAATCTTTATTAATTTAACTTTATTTAATTATATTCAATTATCTTTAAAATATCATAGAAACAATTCGAGTTTTATAAATAAAATTATTAATACTTTTATAGAGAAATAGAGAAACAAATTTCATATTTTTATGTATGAATAATAATTAAAAATAAAAATAAAATATTTATATGAAATATGATATTAAAAATAATGTCTTTTATTACAGAATCAATTTGGATCTGCGAATGTATTTCTCAGTATGGATATTCTTATTTATGCAATTCACAACACGTAAGTTTTTAAATTTGTTATTTTTCTAATTTATTTGTTTTTCGTAATATTTTATCTTTCTATTTTTCTATTTTTAATTTGATTATTTTTCTTAAAAGAAACTTACTTTATTAGTATTAAGAATATTGCACTCTTAATATTTTACAAAATATAAATTATATTGTTTTATTCTAATTAAATAATTATTGTCTTCATAATATATTAGATATAATAGAGATAAAAGATAGTCGTTTGTTTAGAAGTTTCACACATAATGATTCAGATAATATATATAAGTGCATAGAAACATTATTAATATCATTTACATTATATCACATTGTATGATCTAAAATAAGAATATCTTATGTAATATTTTGTTATTAATAATTTTTTTTTAATAACATAAATGTTTTTAATAAACATAAAAGAAATTATAAATGAATTATTTATTTTTAAAAATTTTTATCTTAAAAATAATTTTTAATAATGAATTTTGAATAATTCCTTTTATATAGAGTTTTAATTCATGGGGAATCTTTGGAATATCGATTGTAGAAACCAAACAAATGTAGAAATATCAGTTAAGGCTTATTTATTAAGCAATTTATGTAGACAGATTGAAACGGAAATAGAGTGAAACCGCTTTGTCTCCGTTACAGTCTGTTTCCGCCTTGGTTCATTTAATAGGAATTGAAATTGTTTATAATTTAACAAAATTTTCGTAGAATATATTTTCGGCGAGAAAACTATCCCAGATTTCGTACATGGACCATGCGAAGGTTACAAACAGGGTGAAGATGATCTTCAAACAATTGACTTTATCAGTAAATTGAAATTGGATCTTTTGGAGACACATTATACTGGTGTGACACGAGTAAGAGGTAGTAATCGTATGCAAACAGCCTACAGATTGGAAAAAGACACTGACATTACTCTGCCAATCAAGTACGATTTATATATCTATTTTTTAACGATCTAAAAATAATCGATTCGATGGTTAATGATTTATTGTATAAAATTCTTTTTTATATTGTTTATCAGGAATATATTTCCAAATGGATTGCCAGAGGAATTTAGTGTAGTTTGCACATTCAGAGCCAGAAAACTATCGAAATATACTTGGCATATTATCAAAATCGTCGACATGGAAAACGAGCCCCAATTTTTAATCGCAATGAACCCAAAAGGTCAAACTTTGGATTTGTTCGTGAAAAGCCAAACTGGTGAAATGCAAATAGTATCGTTCTCAGCCGATCATGTGAGTAAAATGTAAATTTTTTTTAAGTCTTGTTGAAAATTTCATCGATAATTTATATTATAAAATATTGGAAACGTTTTTTAAATTTTAATTTCAATTTATTTCATCAAATTTTCTTATATTACGTTTATCTTTTTATTTATTTTTTAATATTTCGTATATTTGTATTAATATTTGTATCCATTATCTTTTGATATATGTTTTAAAATATTAATTAATTATATTATTATTTCAATTATTAAAATATTTTTAATAAGAATATTTACTTCAATTTAATTTTTATTATAAAATATAGTTTTGTTATTTTATCATCAAACTTGAAAATTAAAAAATCATTTCACATTCTTATTGAAAAATTTGCATATCTTTGGCATGTGGCATCGAGACAATATATACGTACATATTTGTATAAATTTCAAAATTGTATTAACCAATTTAGTAGGAAAAAGATACCTTGTATAAGTTTAAACAATTTGAAGTAAGATAAAATATTCGTAAACCAAATACATTTCCACTAATCAGTTCGAGGACTGTCAGATTCATCAGATCATGTCATATTTAATGCTGGCTGTCTCTTAAAAATGTCATGGCGGATTGTGAAATGATTAAAGCAAGCCTCGAGCGATTGCGGATATTTCAAAACATGATTTCGTCATTGCGGCATGAAAACTCGAGCTTCCTGTCAAATATCAATCGGTAGATCACGCGTTGGCGTAGAAATTAAACCCTCTTCATCGGGATGCGTGGAAATCGTGTCATGGATCATTGAATAAGCATCTTGCGAAATAGTTTGGAGGTTTTTTGGTAAAGCGACGAGATGTGAAAGAACGTCGCAAATCGAAAAAAATTGATGAGAATACCATTCGTGACATTTGTTAAGTTATCAAAAAAGCATTAATCTTTGCGACGTAACATTATTAATGAATCGCGAAAATTAATAATTAATTACAAACAAATAACAGAAGAGAATTGCTGCATTTCCTTGTCTGAGAAATGTTTTAAATGAAACTGATTAATTTCCAATCTTAGGGTAAAGTTTGATCGAATTTTTTCTATTTTGAAACATAGAATGATTCTCATTGATATTTCAATTATAATTTTTAAACAAATGAAAACACAATATATTTAGGAAACAACAATATATTTATTAATAAAATATAAATAATTTAAAGAATGTTGATTATATGTGTAAATATTTAAATATGTTTTCAAAGTTGCAGAATATTTTAAAAATTTATTAAATCTTTCATTCTTAAGAAAATAATTAAATTAGATTGAATCTCTAGATTAACATAAATTATTGTAAGTTATTGTAAGTTTTATATTTTTCTTGGTGCATGAATTTTGATTGGAACAGATATTCGATAAAAATTGGCATAAAATTGATATTGGAGCCTTCAAGGATAGGCTGGTGATATATATCGATTGCGAATATATTGGCACACAAGACGTAAAGCCATGGGGTCCGATCAAAGTGGATGGTGAGATCTCGATATCAAAGATGTCGCACAGTAAGCTCACTATACCGGTAAGTTCGATCATACTTTTGATATTGCATACACATTATACACATAGAAGATAAGATCACTTATTGATAGCTCATTAGTCAATTTCAATCGATTATATAATTTGTAATATATAATTATTGGCCATTTTGTCAATATATCATCATCATATGTCATTGTATCGCCAATTTTTTTTTGCCAATTAATGACAAATGACACGATATCATTCATAATTATATTTTCTTATGTAATCAGATGTTTCATAAAATAAATGCAATAAATGTTTCTAAAATGTTGCAACACTTTTTTAGATCTTTTAATTCCGACAAATTATTAATGAAAATTGGAAGACATGCACAATTGAAATTAATATGAAATACACGTAAATTTCACAGAATACTGTGTAACACATCCATAGGGGTTGCTCGCATTTGTTCATATGAGATACATGTACATCCGTTATATGCAGCAATTAAGGAGCACTTAATTAATAAACACTTTATAATGAACGAGGCTGAGACATAACTGGGACAAGCTAGATTTAGTATTATTGTTAAAGTGTGAAATGTGTATGGAAAAATTTAACGAACTTGTTATAATATGATTATTACAGTTTTGCAAAGAAAGAAAAAAAAATTATACAAAACAACAGTATTGTAAATAGTTTGTTTTTAAAATTATCGATTTTTAAACATGTTTCTAGTCAATTAATAAACATAGAATAATGATATACTCTTTATTTATGAAAATTAAAGAAATACAAAATTCAAATATGCTCATGAAATTTGATAAATTAATTTTTGAAATGATCAAAAATATAACTGAACTTTTTTATAAGTTCAGATTATAAATGTTCAAAATATGACATTAATATTATTAATATTAAAAAAGAAGTCAGTGGAGAAAATAATAAAATTTTTAAAATTAATATTTATTCGATTAATAGAATTTTGTTGCACCTTTATTATTTTTCTTAATTATTTTGTATCTAATAATTAATTTTATTTGTAATCTTATTTAAATAGAATTATATATTTTTCTTCTTTTATTATTATATCAGATATTGTTGCTTCTATATAATATTATAATCATGAGAATATTATAATTAAGTTGAATGAAAAAAATAAGTATTGTATGTAAATATGAAGATATATATCTATTTGAAAACAATAAATTTAAATATGTAATAGATACTCGCGCGGAAATTATATCTATCTTCTTTTTCTTTTTTAGGACTTTTTTTCTTTTTAAAGAAAAAAAACTTGTAAATTTCTTTTACAAGCTATTATTTTATAAAATTACAGAAATACAGAATATAAAAAGTATTTTAAATATTCAAATGCTTTTTCTTTTTATTCTTAATATAATATTTGCTTCCTTTTGGAAATATATTTCTAGATCGATATACAATGGATGGTCTTAAATTGCGATCCTACGAGACCTGAGAGAGAGACCTGTGAGGAATTACTGGCAAGTCTATACATATATTTTACACAACCTCGCAATCCATTAAGATCCCATGGTTGTAATTAACGTAATTGCAGAAGAGCCTTAGCAGCCCTTTATTACCTCAGAGAAGACTTAGCTGTGAAATTATCTGTCCACAGGGATCTCCTGGAATTAATGGCACTAATGTAAGTTAATTCTTTTTTTTATTGCTAAACATTTTCATTCGATTTCCATTCAATATTTAATGCTTTCAAAATAGTACATTAATATAAAATAATTTTCCCTTAACTAATAAAACGTATTTTTTAATATTAAATATTCTCTAATTAACTTTTTTGTAATATAATCACAAATCAGGATATTCAGATTTCATAAAGAGTTATATCAAATATCACGCATATCTGGTTAAAAAGAATAATAATAATTCCAGTATTTATGGATATTTGGATCTTTGAATCCAAGTATTGAATATTTGAGTATTCAAATAAATTCATTAAATAATTATTTATGTATTCAACTTCAAGTATCTGTATCAAATAATAGATCTGAGCAATAATAAGAACTCTAAGTCTAACAGAATCTTCAATAATATATAAAGCTGCATCAAAATGAATATATTTCTTAAAGTTATGTAGGAGTTAAAATTTATATTTTAAATTGTATAATTATGTAATTAATATAAATAATTATATAAATACATTTATTTAGGGTTTACCTGGTTTACCCGGATTACCTGGGCCACCTGGACCAATCGGAAAACCCGGTTTACCTGGACATCCGGGTTTACAAGGACCGCCTGGCGAGCAAGGCAAAATAGTGAGTTTTTTAAATAAATAATATTATATATTAATATAATAATAATATAATAATATAATAAAATAATATTAGATATTTTTAAAATAAAAATATATGATATATATTGATCTGTTTTATTATAAATTATTATGCGATTATTAGGGGCCGCAAGGATTTATTGGTGCACGAGGATTTATTGGCAGTCCAGGTCCTAAGGGGTCTTCTGGACCTATTGGACCATCTGGTCCAAAAGGAGAACGTGGAGAAAGAGTGGGCTTATACATTACATTTATATATTATGTCACTTTTGATTAATTATTTTTTTAAATTTACTCTTAACTAATATAATTGGTTAGGATAGTTACATTTTGCTTACTAGTTTGTTTTTTGCAGGGTGACATGGGATTTCCAGGATTGAAAGGAGATCAAGGTCTTCCAGGGCCACGAGGTTATCCAGGACCTCCAGGAAATATTAGCAACTATCGCGATTTTCTATCACGATTTACAGGATTACCAGGACAAAATGGTTCAAAAGGAGAGAAAGGGGATCGTGGCGATAAAGGAGAACAAGGCCAAAAAGGTAGTGGCTTAATATCTATTTTTAAAAGTTTCTTTCTTAGATTAGTGTGGTTGTGTCAAATGTTAATTGTTCGTTAAATACGATTACATGGATTTATCAGATAAGTAATCCTTGAACTGTAGCGTAAACTAATTTAATCTTGTTAGAAAATCGCGTGGAATTGTGGGTGTTCATTGTTCACGTGCGCGATAGTGATTCATCGTTATATATATTATTTTACCAATGAACATGGAATGCTTATTTTTTAGTATCCAAAAAACTTAATAATAAATTTAATAATAAGAAAATTTGGTAATAATTATTATATTTTTGTTTAAAATTTTGTTTCATGAAAATGAATTTCTTATATAAATACAAATTTTGTTATGATTTATACATATTGATTTAATCTCTTGATTTAAAATGTTGCTAATGAATAATAAATGAATTTTCTTCGAATTAGTTAATGCATTAATTACAATGTTACAAAAGATCATTGATACTTTTGAAGAAATGATTCCTTCCAATAAACTATGTCAATAGTCTCATATTTAAAGATCGAGCGCAATCGAGTAATGGCTTTAACTATCTAACTAGCATATTTCCATTTATTCTATTTTCTCTTTTTTTTCTTCTTTTTTTGCTTCTTATAAATCTGTACAAAATATATAAATTATAAATTTATATATTATACATATTTATTCACGTTACGAATTTTAAATTTAAATTAAATAAAAAAATTATTTTTAAAAACTATTAAAAAATTAATTAATAGCACAACAGTTAAAGGATAAATTTTAATCAAATAATAATTTTAATATAGATAAATATCATCTTTTCAATCGTAAAATAAAGGAAATCATCTAGAGGTTAAAAATATTTTAAGAATTTGATTTTATACTACTTTCTTTTATATTATTTTTCTTTCTTTTGACTTGACCACTGTTATATAAAAGCAAATATCAAAAGCTATAATTCTAGTATTTCCTGACGAGTGACACAAAAACGATATATTGTCATCTATATCGACATCGACCTAAATACAGTTATTCAAAGTGATTGTAAATCAATTTGTTGCAATCTGCTGCAATACTCGTAAACCCATTGCTTTTATTAATCACTAAATGTATATTCGTTCTCAAAATAGAAGAGACTAGTAGCTCCTAACATATATCTAATTGCAGAATTTTTACTAAATGACCTAGTTTAAAATATATAATAAATATATAATAAATTGAAAGCAAGTTATGAAAAAAATTTTAAAAAGAGCAAAATTATAAAAAACGTTTATACTTGTTTTTAAATTAAATTGTAAAGTAAATTTTTTAAATAAAAACTATAATTATATTTTCAAAGGCTAAATCAATAATTACATACATAATCATTATATGATCATTATATTAATTTAAGGTGAAGCAGGAGAAAAAGGTTATCCAGGTCAAAACGGATTTCCTGGAATAGAGGGAAAATCAGGACTTCCTGGTTTTCCAGGTCTTAAAGGAGAAATAGGATTTCCTGGGATACCGGGTCCGCAGGGATTACCAGGTCCTCCAGGTAAAATTGGAGCTCCTGGAATTCAAGGAGCAAAAGGAGAAGTTGGAGAACCCGGTCGTGATGGTTTGTAAATTAAATTGAAAATTAATATTTTCTATATAAATTACTAATATATTAAATTTACTTATTTAGGTTTACCAGGTTCAATAGTTGGTTCAATAATACCAGGACAGCCTGGTCCTCAAGGTTCTCCTGGAATACCTGGAGAAGACGGTCTTCCAGGAATAAAAGGAGAACCTGGTCCTATTGGTCCACCGGGTCTTCCAGGATTACAAGGAAAAAACGGTCCTCCTGGTTCTCCAGGACCACCGGGATTACAAGTAAATCTATATTAAATTGAATATCGAATTTACTTTTTTAATAATTAATTGAGATTCGTTTCAATTTTTATTGTACAAATAATAAGGCAAATTTGGTTGATTATAAATTAGGGTTTATCTGGAGAACCAGGTTCTCCAGGTTCTCAAGGAGTAGATGGTCCTATTGGAAAACCAGGATTACCAGGACTCGATGGACAACCTGGAAATAAAGGTGATAAAGGTCAGCAAGGAGAACAAGGATCTGTCGGGCCACGTGGTTTACCTGGAAGTATTGTAAGTTTAACTTTTTGTTGTTATTAAACATATCATATTTATGTTTCATTTATAATTTAATTTTTAAAATTTAAAAAATAGAAAGAAAAAAGATTTTTCGATTTTTTAGGGTGCACCAGGTTTACCTGGAGTTGCTGGTATTCCAGGCTTAGAAGGACGATCAGGTTTACCAGGTCCTCCAGGACCTCCTGGACCACCGGGTTCACCTGGAACTATAGACATGTTAAGTACAAATAATGTATTAGAAACTATTGGTAGTCCAGGAGTTAGTGGACCCAGAGGTCTACCAGGTACACCAGGATTAGTAAGTATTCTAATTATTAAATTAGAATAGGAGTTTTCGCTTATTTTTAAATATTTTATTATTTTTTTTAAATTTAAATATTATTCTAAAATTCCGAAGTGTATATTTTTATAAAAAATTAGCCAGGTGAGAGAGGACCTTCTGGAGAAAGAGGTCCAGAAGGTAAAATAGGATTACCTGGAATACCAGGAAAAGATGGAGCTCCAGGACTTCAAGGACCACCAGGAATTAGGGGACAAACTGGAATACCAGGAGTTCAAGGACCACCAGGCCGAAGTATTACCGATTCAGAAATTCGAGATATATGTGCCAGTGTGTTACGAGGTGAATATTTAAATATTATTTCATATACTTACTCTATTTACTTATTTTATTAATGATATTTTATTGAAATAGAATAAAAGGTGGAAATTATTATTATATTATCTAAAATAATAAAATTGAATAATTGTAGACAATTCGTAAAAAATCTGATTGTTCGTCTAAGAAATGTCAAAATAATGACAAAAGCATAAAATATAAAAATATTGGA